AGGGTGAGTAATTAATGACAGAATTTTCATTTTTGGGTGAACTATCCCTTTAACGTAACTGATGATATTCTTAGCTATATTCTTAACTAAACGACTTGTCACAAGCTGATTGGTTCCCGTAGCATACGCAGCCAATGAGCTTGCTGCTTTACATTTAAATGGCTGATTAGCATTCGCTTGACCATTGCAGCGCACTTTCGTGCGTCGACTCCTGAAAAACTTTTTCATTCCGCGTTGTCCCATCAAGCTCTCGCTGGATCCGCTCCTCTGCTATCAACGAGAGGAATGTCTGTACATCCTCACTTTGCTGATTTAAATCTAGCGGTTCTGTTGTGTTTGTGTCACAAATTCTTCCGAGAGTTCTCATGATAGAAATACCAAGTTCTGTCATAAAACTCTAGATGGCACAGGCTATGGGTCCTTTACGTAACTGATGATATTCTTAGCACTAAACGACTTGTCACAGGCTGATTTGTTCCCGTTGCATAAGCAGCCAATGAGCTTGCTGCTTTACATTAAAATGGCTGATTAGCATTCGCTTGACCATTGCAGCGCACTTTCAGAGTTCCTCTGAAACCCTCCACCTTCCCCAGCTCCACCTGTATAGATCTGCTACGGGTTATTTTATACGCTATTTGTGCAGCGGCAATATGTCTTAAATACTCACAGCACCATATCGGCTTATGTATTGGCAGCAGCAATTCAGCAGCAGCAGCAGCGTAGCAGAACTATTCCGCCAAGACCAAATACATTAACATTGTCATATCCATTACCATGCTAAAATCTTCCGAGAGTTATCATGATAGAACTATCATTATGGTGACATTCCTTACGAGTTATGGGTTTTATACTGTACAAACTATATTCTATCCCCCTACATTAACCCTACTCCTAAACTTACCCTTATGAAAATTGTTTTTCCTCAGAGGGCCCAAAAAAGTCTCCCACAAGGACAATGATTTCAGATATTGCCATCTTTGTGTGTCCCCATAACATAGAATTTCCCTGAACCACACATACACACACTTACAAAATAGTGGTTATCATCTAAGATAAATCACTTATAGTGTAAAAATAATTCATTACATTTCATTATCCGTAAATTGCAAACAAGTTCTTTAGAAACTATATCTACTGAATCTATACAGATATCTATAGATGCACCAAATGATTCACTGTTTAACCATTAAGATGAGTTAGATTAAATAATAGACAAATGTATTAAACTGAATGAGAAGCCATGCAAATGAAAAGTTTGATAGTGAGAGCTTAGAAAGGCTGTTACAGTGAATGAAACATTTATATAGATGAAACACTTATTTTGTGTAGTGAAAATGATACTTTGTGATTGTGTGTATTGTACTAAGACAAGTAAACATATGCTGAAATGTTTGAAAAAAATGGCACTTTTGATGATCTGTAGTGACATTAGTACTAAGGGTTTTTAAAATGTAACAGCTGCTTGTGAAAAAAGCAAATAAAAAAAACTGTATATGCTACTGTATGATCCTCAGTCGTTTAGTGTATGATGGCCAGTTTTTCCTCTGTGACTATTACAAAGTCGGTAAGTGTATGATGCCTAGCATTTTAAAATCAGTTCAGATTTTAAAAGCCATGTAGTGTATTCCAGCCTAAAGAGACATCACTGACAGAGGTTCTCTATGCCACAGCATACATACCCTACTAATTGATGATAAATTTCACCAGCTGAATATTCATTTTAAACTCTTCAGCATTTTGAGATACTACTTTCTGGTCCGAGAGAGGTGTTTGAAGGGAAAGGTTCAATACTGGTGATTGAGAGTAGGGCTGCACAATTAATCGAATTTCTAATCGCGATTACAATTATGGATGCCACAATTACGTAATCTTTCAAAGCAGCAATTAATCGTTGAAAGTCCACTTATGTTATTCTGCATGCTTAAGATGCGTTTTTTTCTTTCTACATGTTATCTTAAGGGTTTTTCCCATTACCATTCATATTTTTTTCTTTTTTTATAATTTAAAGAAGAAACCAATCTGATGTATAGTTGACATTTGAGGCTTAATACTATAGAAAAGCACTAAAAGTTTTTCAGTTAGAGTGTTTTTAGCTTGTTTATTTTCATAGAAAAATACGGCATGCAGTTGCATCAAACAATGGTATAAACATCATTCAATGTAAATTGTGATAATCATAATTAATAATCGCAATTACAATTTCAAGGGAATAATCGACAATTATGATTTTTGTCATAATCATGCAGCCCTAATTGAGAGCAAAACGTGACCCACAAAGCCTCATGCCATACATGTATGACCGTGTAACGCCAAGCCAGCAGAGGGAGCCCTCGCCCGAGTACTGACCGTGCTCCACTCCCTCTGCTCCCTCTGCTTTCACTTCCTGTTTGACTCTCATATAAACTGAGACCAGTCCATGTGCTGATCGCGAAGTATTGCCAGTTTATCTGCCTTACCAAGCGTTATTCTTCCTCTGTTCCTGATTGATTTCCTGTGTATGATTCTGCCTGACTTCTTGACTCACGGTATTTGTACTCTGCCCCTGTTGTTCTGACGCCTGATAGGACTGATGTTTGTGTTTGGACTCATTGCCTGCCTCTCCACTATTGTCTCTGCTTCTGCCCTTGTGTATGACGAACGATCTGCTTGCTTCTCTGACTTTGACCCTCTGCCTGATTATCGACATCTGTTTAAAGCCTTGACCTTTAATAAACTTCCGCTCATGGATTCTAACCAAACTCCTGTCAGAACCAAAATTCTGTTACAGAATACTTAGCCTCCTATGAATCCAGCGGAAGTGTCGAATCTGCAAGCAGCATTCTCATACCAAGCTGAAATGCTCCAGAAATATCAGCAACAACTCACCAAGCTGCAGACCGTCAACGAATACCTGACGCACTACATTCGATCTCTCCCTCCACCCACTCCTAAGACCGTAAGTCTCGCTCTTCCTGACAAATTTGACGGTACCGCTGAGCAATGCAAGGGCTTCATTCGCCAAGTACAAGTTTATCTAGATCATCAAGGAGAGAGATTCGAATCAGAGGGCAAAAAGTGCGCTTTCATCATGACACTTGCTCCGGTCATCCTGGTATCTCTCGAACTCTCCAACTAGTACAGAACTCTTTCTGGTGGAGTAACATGGCACGAGACATCACCAACTATGTCAAGTCCTGTCAGATCTGTGCTCAGTCAAAAACCCCAAAGGAATTACCTTCAGGTCTACTCAAGCCATTACCGATTCCTCAACGACCATGGTCTCATCTGTCTATCGACTTCATCACTGACCTCCCACCATCCAATAATAACACTACTATACTGGTTATCATTGACCGTTTCTCGAAGTCCTGCCGTCTCATTCCACTACCCAAATTACCCACTGCGGTTTTCAAAATAAAAGCTTCATGGATTAGCATTTGAATATTAAGAAATTAAGACATAAACATTAGTATTGCAATTGTACAGTTGTACTATATAATAAAATCATTATTATTATTTTATTAAATAGTTCATAAATTATCAGAAAGTAGAAATTATTTCAAATGTGTGAATAATATATTTTTTTAAATATGTGAATTGTTGTTCATTGCAATTTCAAAAAAAAAATAAAAAAATTTAAATAAAAGACTTACTATTGATACTTTATTCATCCAAATATTAATTTAAAAAAAAAGGTTTCTTAATTGCCCAAATAATTGGTCGATTACCAAAATAAACGACTGCTTAAACTATTCCAAGATTTCCATTACAAAAATTGTAGCTTGTAACTGGGGCAGCACTCTTTGTGCCCCTTCTACCCCTAAAGGGTGCATATTATTACCTTAAGTTACCCTTAAAGGGATAGTCAACCAAAAATGTTACTCACCCTGACGTTGTTACAAATCTGTATGCCAATTGCATGACAACTGTAAGGTATAATTGTTCCAGTTTTCTGGCACTGGTAATGAAAAATACCTTTTCATGGATTAAGCATTGAGAAAAGACTCAAACCCCTGATAAAGCATATGTGTGAAGTCACACTAAGCGTGGGTTGTTAAGTTTTGTGTAAGTTTCTAAAATTAGGAACAGCTCTTAGACATGGGCCTATATGTCTCCTTGGCAACATCATAACCACACCACAATTGTACTTACAGCATGCAAGAAAAAAGACAGCACCAGAAATCTCCAAACTCTGAACAATCTGAACAGCAAAAATGTTTATTAAAACAATGAACCAATGAGCAAACATCAATCCATCCCAAAAACCATTCAGAGGACTTCAGTGATGTAATTTACTTGAATCACTGGTCTGTTACAGCACAAAACTCATGGCAGCAATATCTTATATGAGATCTACAACTAAGAGGGATAGATCCTGTGGCATGGGGTGGATAAATGTACAGATACATAGATGCATCCTGGTCCTGGTTTTTGCTGATCTGGCTCATGGGTACCGGTTAATTCATGATCACTACAGTATGTGATAGAAGTGCTGGCCTTTGTGTAGGCCGTATTTAATGAGGATGCCTAAGTCCAGATCTGCATCCAAACACCTGCTTTTCTCCTTTAATTCTCCTTTTCCTGTCTTCATAACAACTCACAGTTAAAAACAGGATACTTTGCGCTGTCATGTGTTTCATTTGTCTCTGAATTCTTTGCAAGATCTTCTGATGCAAGGAGGCCCAGATGATAGACTAATAAAACACCGGTGCTGCATTGCCAGGATTTATGAAGCTCTTCAACTACACAGCGAAAATTACAAACTTATAAATAATGCTTAGGTTATGGTGCATGTTATTAAAGTGACAAATAATCATTAATTATAAAAGGCAGATACGGATGCGATGATAGATGCGCCGCATCCTGACACTCAAGACATCCTGATGGCTTACAGCCACTGAGCCTAAGCATTGCATAATTGTATGTCAGTAACATTATTATTATTATTATTATGTATAAACTATGTAACAGCTGTGATCAGATCAATGATGATAACAATTAGAAGGTTTTGAGTGAATTACCTATACACAGGTTCCAGCCTTTGTCTGCGATGCTGTCGCTGTTGTCCTTTCTTTTCGGTCTCTTTGTGTATAAGTCTTATTTTTGGCCGTAATGTATATTATTTCATTTTAACATGTCATTTAAAGGTTTGGCAATTGACATTGAATGAAATCCTTCAATCTGCTCTGTGTGTTGTCCAGTTGCCGCAAGTGTACGATGGAGATGGGCCGATCCATTGCTGGGATAGGGGCGCATGGACTGCATGGTGTTTACACAGTACTAATAACACTATATAATTTAACCACAATTTGTCAATTGGTATTTCCTATAGATTCTATAAAATTAATGTTTATTTCTAATCAGTAGATTAATAGGCATGTGGTGAGTGACCATAATTACCATTAAAATTGTGAGTGGCCATAATTACCCACTCTGACATAAATGGAGTCTTCCGGAGCGCGCGGACTCATAGCAACAAACCAATGTTTCCATCCGGGTTCTTATTCCGATGACTAATAATAAGATGCTACTAATAAATCTTATATATTTCCTATTTCTAAAGTAATAAATAATCATATTTTCTTCTTTTCGATGTTATTTTATGAACATAACACTGAAACCTTTTAAAAAGCCAATTTCAAGCATGTGTAGGCCTATAGATCCCAACTAAAAGAACTAAAATCACAGTTGGCCTACATAAAATACAGCCGCACTTTACTTTATAAATTATTTTTTAAATATATTTAAACTTTAATACTAAACAAATATTGATGCAATGGTAGTGTAATTTTGTCGTAGCAATTTGTCGTAGCATCTGTTTAAAAGATACGATTTAATCAAGTCAATTTGAATAAGTTGGCCAATAAATAGATATGCCTAGATGTTTTGCTAAAATACAGTACTAAGAATTTCTAAGTTTCATCACTGATGTTTATTTCGTCTGTTCTCCGCTTGATGTCGCCACACATTAACACATTACGGCTTTCTCAATTATTTTCTTGGTTTCGTTTACTTTGTTTGTGTGCAGGCTTGTTTTTATTAGGCTACAAATTGTTCTCTGGAGTAAGTGATAGTAAATTCATATGCTAAGGAAAGCACTAACCACACGGGTATTTGTTGCATCCTGCTGAAAAAAAAAACATTACATTAATAATTACATAAATGGTTTTATAGAGCGCATGACACAACAGCAACAGCAATAACTAAAAACAATGAAATAGCCAGACACGTTTGATTTATATTTTAACTGATTACATTGCCATTTTATTTAAAAATAAATAAATAAATAAATACAAATAAATTATGTACATCATAGTCTCATCAAATGATATGATCAATATCTTAAAATGTAACTTTGTATTTTCGAGAATAAGTAAAACATTCCTACAAGGTAGTATTCACAGGTTATCTCTCAGTGAGAATCAATACATTCTCCCTGTGATGGCCTTTGGAACTTCAGAGTGTCTTTTTGTTTTTCTCCACTGTTTTGGATGTTGAGCAAAGGGCCTGATGTGTTTACTTCTTCATTAACACAGAATACTCTAACAGGAAGTATAACTAGCTCAGCTGGTGGTACTACAAAAACTTGCTTGTCAATCCAAGCCTCTCAAACAGGAAATGACTATTACTTCTGTGCTACAGAGACTTTAGTTGAAGAGCTTTTGTGGTTATCAACAGTTGAGAGTTTCCTTCAGTGTGAGCAGTGCATGTGATGGCCCAGACAAAAGATCCAAACTTTGGGCAGTCATCAGGCCCTAACTCTGCCCTTCAGAGGCTGGACACGTTAGCTAGCCGATTTTTTTACAAATATCGAAAAGGGCACCAGGAGAAGGGACTAGAGAATGAGGGGCCACATGTGACAGACTATACCGTTCTTTGGGATGCAACAAGTAAGTCAAAGCCTTTTAAGTGAAATATTTAAAAATACTTCATTATTTCTATTAAATGCACAAAAGGTCTGTTTTCTTAAAATGATTGACTCTTGATCTAAATAAACTCATTTCATATACTGTAGAGAGTCTCTGATTAATTTTCACAACCTCTATTGAAGGATATGATGTGGGTTTTTTTATTGTAATTAGCTGAAGAGTGCAGAGTAAAATGTGTTAGCCTTTTTCTAAGTGCATATATATTTCTGTACACTTTGATTGTTGTCAGACTTTTTGTGGTTTCGACAGGAAGAGATCAGTTTGCTTTTCTAAAGCCAGCAAAACTTAAAGCGCACTAAACCTGTTCATTTTACAACATCAAGTTTCCAATACATAAAGTATTATCTTTCCTTAATGGCAGACCTGATAGTACAAGGTTGCCGTGTTAGGCTAAAATGTAAATGTAACCAAATTGTTACTGATAATACATCCACTGACAAATGTGTGCAAGTCAAATCTCATGTTCATGTTCAGGTAAACCTCATTAAGACAGATATCATAAAAGTGATGTCTATATAATGTTATATTATTACAATGTTTGTTGTAGCTGGTTTTGTGAAAACAGTGCTATCTAATAAAGCTGTCAAGTGGAGAGATAATATTCTAGAACAGTTTTTTTTTATGCAGTGTATAATTTTTGTAGTGCAATGTTGTCTCACTGTCATTTCTCAATCTGCTATTAATTTGTTAATAAATGTCAGAAGAAACTGCTGTATTGATCAGCATGAGTATCACGTAGTTAAAACACATTTGTGTGCGTTTTAAAGTAATTTCAGGAGTCTCCATAAAATCAAGATAAATCCAAAAGAAAGTAATTGCTGATGTGTGGCTAATAGTCAGCTGGCCGTTGTAGATCTACATTAAATGATAATCAAAAGATGGCAGTGTTGTCCTTTTAATTTGCATTTTATGTCTGGCTTTGACTGACCAACCAGATTAAAAGACAAATGAGTTGATTAGTCACTAGCAGCATCTCTGTTGCTGCCTAAATGAAATGGCAAGACCTCGAACAAGCAGAAATCATCCACATTTTATTACACATCCCGTGTTTTTTGCTTTTGTATTTTGCACTTTTTAAAAATAAGTTTCAGTTTGCACAGTGGTTTCACATGTTGGAAATGCGTTTTCATAACACAAAACTCAACTCAAATGCTCCATAGCAGAAACCTATGCAACTTGATATCTTTCAGTTCACTATAGTACACACTTTTTTTAATATTTGCATTTTTTTATTATGTCTAACATATGGTGTTGGCAGAAAGACAAAGGAGAGTGACATTTAAAATCGCCCCCTTTTTAATCTTGTTCAAAAACATTTAATAACATTTCAATCCCTTTCGATGTAGTTCCCATGCTCAGAACTAGAAATCCCAGGGGATGCTAACAGAATGATACATATAGACCAGCTTCAATGCATTAAATAAGCTGTGTTACAAATTTAAATGGATTAAAATTCATATAAGCTGAAAATGTTTAAGGATTATGCTCTGTTCCAAATAAAGGATTTTATTGTTTATCTGAGAATCATGCATTGAGCTATCCTTTGGCAGTTGATAATGTTAATTGTGTTATCTCTTTAATTAGTGAAAGAATTCTTTGCACAAGCCAAAGAGGATTTCTCGAGAAAATGGGACTTTCAGCCGCAGGTATGGGAGCATTATTGCACTAAACAGGAAAGTCAGATACAGTTGTTTTCAGCAGAACTAATCGTTGACTTCTGGCTTGGGTTCTGCAGAGCACATCGTGTCTAGATGACTTTGACAGATTGAAAACTCTTGGCACTGGATCTTTTGGAAGAGTAATGCTAGTCAAGCACAGACAGTTGGGACGATACTACGCTATGAAGATTCTGGACAAAGAAAAAGTGAGTATGCATGCTGTATATCCTCCTGCAGCCCCCAGCCATTCATTCATTCATTCATTTATTTATTTGTTTGTTTGTTTGTTTATTTATTTGTTCTCTGTGCAAGACATTTGTTTTTGTGAATTTCTATGAGACATACCATTCTTTAACACAGTCCTGGTGTCTCTTACTGAGTCTTCATCCTGGGTCTTTCTTATAGATGCAGAATGTATATTATTTTGAAACTGTTTATTTTCAAGTTTTCCAATAAAAAGAGTATGATTTTACGATATTTATGAATAAGATATTTATTCAGTGCATCACTGTAAAAATAAATAAATAAAGTTAGTTAGTTTACTCAACTTATGGAAAAAATTGTTTGATCACCATAACCATTAAGGGTGTTCTGTTATTTCAGAGAACATAATAAGCTATAATAAGTTCCATAAACTCAAAAGTAAGTGATTTAAGACCCGTTCACACTCTGTTTATTATGAGCGAGTTTATTATCCGCTGTTTTTGTGTTGTCTGCTGCTTTAAAGGCTCAAGCTCTTTCCTCGGTGGATTCTGATTAGTTGTCATTGTTTTTAGCTTTCATCAGCTGGGAATAAATACTGTTCCTCCTTGTCATCAATGTTAGCTGTGGTGTGGACTTCCCTATTATCATAGAATTAGAACAATTATTAATGCTTTGTACTTTTAAACTTTATTAAAACTTTACAGTTATCATTAAGCTCAATAAAGTTCAATGAGTATCAATATTGCACATTGCTGATGCAATAACTAGACCTTTCCACTAAACTAAGTTTGCTTAATTTGTGCAGTTAGTGTCACAAAATTTAACCAATAAAAAATTTATAAAGAATTGAATCATTAATGGTGACTTTAAAAAAACATATTAAAAATATTAACAGTAGATAGAGCTAAAACATATATCAATTCTGATTTAACACAAAATGTGCTCATACCTGTAAGTCCCCATTCTTTTACCAAAAACACAAATTATTTAAGTTTATTATGAGTGATCAGTGATTATCAGTGACTTGCATGCTTGGCACCAAATCTGACATTGTAAGCTCTTGCTGTGTAATATTTTAAGTTGCTCAAACTAAAGGCCTAACTTCATTTTTTACGTAATGTCAGCGTTTTATTTATTGCATGTTTTACACAAATACATTTGCTATGCAAATTATATAAAGTTGCACTCATTAAGAGTAAACACCTAAATCAAAACACTAATACTGTACAAACAAAACATTATAGGATAAACATCATTTGTTTAGATTTTTACATAATATTTTTTTTATTTGGGGGTGCAGAAGACATTTTTTGCAGAAAATTTTAAAAACTGATTTGTGAATGAAAATGAGCATGGTTTTTGTAGGTATACCTCTATTTAGGTTAAGTTTCTAAATAACTGAATCCTGATGTTCCCCATAGAGAACAATATAAAACTAAATGCAGTTTTGTGTTTTGTATGCTCTAAACTCTGTTATTGGGTTATTCATTATTAAATAAATTATTTAAAATCAAATTTACAACAAACGTTTTTTTAAATGTTCGAATTCGAAATTCGAAATCTCATCTCTTTCGAAGCTACTTGACTTCATCATCATCATTATAAAAAAAATAAAAATTCTCTCTCTTTATTTATTCCTTCTCTTTCTAGCTTGTACTTATTTGAACAATGTCTAGAAACTTGATATTACAAGCACTTCCTGTATCTGTTGGCCTCTTTAAGAAGAATCGCTTTATGTATCCCCAAATTGTAAGTCGCTTTGGATAAAAGCGTCTGCAAAATGACTAAATGTAAATGTAAATGTAAATGTTCAAACACTGAACCTGATTATCATTTTGGAATTTCAGGAAATTCAAAAGCAGGTTAATCGTCACCGTTTCAGTTGAGTCTGGTTGGTCTGGGCCTTGTTTCATGTGTCAGATCATAATGTAAAATGGTTCAAATATATTTACAGAGCAGGGAGGAAACTGAAACTTCCTCTGCTGACAGGATCAAACCGCAGTGAGCAGCCTAATGATGTTTCCACTGTTGACTGTCACATAAGACTGCTAAAGTGTCATGTAACCAAAACATATTTTTGCTATAACAATTTATTGAGAGGATCATGCATTAAAAAGTTAGCTATGTTGGCCTAAGGAGTCAAATATTAAGCTTTTTTTTTTCTCATGTGACTCTGATCTGACAAATAAGAAGAAAAAGTGAAATGTGTTGTGAATCGATACTGTGGATAATACTAAAGTCATCCTGTTTGGAATTATTACTTTGTAATCATTTTAAAAACACAGTTATTGCCTGATGGTGTTTTTACATATAGAAATAGGGTACAAAAAGGCTAATGTTGTTTTATTTGACCAAAATACTGGAAATGTATGTAATGAGAATCCCTAAAATTATCACATATCTTTTGAAACAAAGGATTTTCAGTTTTATTAAAGAGGATTCAATCCTATTAATCAATTTTTTCAGTAATTGCCAATAAAAATCCCTCTTGATGTTGGTCGTATATATCTACACTATATCACTCATTCTTTAATTTTATTTTTTATTTTTTGCAAAGTAGTTTGCATTAGCAGTATTCAATAAAATGTTTTTTTTACTATACTATTTTTTGGCCCAGGGGGAATTTTTTTTTATTTTTTATAAATAAATAAATCTATCCCCGAAATGTGAAGAATTGTAGTCTGTTTGTTTTTGTTTCTTTTTTTTTATTATTCTGTATTTACTCCTGTTTTTGACGATTTTTCAGGTGGTGAAGCTTAAACAGATAGAACACACATTAAACGAGAAGAAAACATTACAAGCAGTGTCCTTTCCTTTCCTTGTGAAGCTGGGGTTCGCTTTTAAGGTACACATTCAATTTATATTGAAAAAAAAATACAATGTCAGAGGGTGTGCTTCTAGAATGTAGCATCATTGTCAGGGTTAAAGCTACTAAAAAAACTCAGTGTTATTACATGAAAAACAGGAACTAATTGTATTACATAGCATTATGATGTTTTCATTTTTAATTACCGTAACAGGATCATTCAAATTTATACATGGTCATGGAATATATCCAAGGTGGTGAGATGTTCTCACATCTGAGACGGATTGGAAGATTCAGGTAAACAGCTTGAAAACTAGCTAATAAAATGTCCTTCTTATGTGCCTTTACCTGTCTTTTTCTCTTATAAATGCAATAAGCATGTTTTTTCCTCATAGTGAGCAGAACGCACGGTTCTATGCTGCTCAGATTGTTCTGACCTTCGAGTATCTTCATGCTCTAGACCTCATCTACAGAGACCTTAAACCTGAAAACTTGCTCATCGATCATCAGGGATACATCCAGGTGTGCCAGTCACTTATTAGCTCCGATTAAATGTTACCTGCACTTTGGTTGTGTAATTTATATTTTAATTAGCTTTTATTTATAACTCTTATATTTGAATGTGATTTAGGTAACAGACTTCGGCTTTGCCAAACGAGTCAAAGGCAGAACTTGGACGTTGTGCGGTACACCAGAGTACCTGGCACCAGAGATCATTCTCAGCAAGGTAAGAAAACACGGCAGTAGTTCTTACTCCTCTAGAAGTTAAAGAAATCCTCAATGTTTTCTCTCTTTCTTTGTTAGGGCTACAACAAAGCTGTTGACTGGTGGGCATTGGGTGTTCTGATCTATGAAATGGCTGCTGGATATCCGCCTTTCTTCGCTGACCAACCTATTCAGATCTATGAGAAAATTGTATCTGGCAAGGTCAGAAGAACTTCAGTCATTTATTACAGTACCAGTAAAATTCCCTCTTGGTGTTGGCCCTACTGTATATCTATACTCTATCCCTATTTCTTTAACCATTTATTTTTACACAAATTATTTTGCTCCATCAGTACAATACAGTACAATAGATAAAGTGCAAGCCATCTATCCATAATATTGCTTTTTCCAGCGAAAATCCACCTCATCTGAATCAGGAGAGAAATATGCACAGATCTGTTGCTGTTTACAAGTGGAAACAATCCAAAGCTGTTGTAACAAATATGTTGGTGGTTTTGATGTGAGAGAACAACAGGGGATGGACTTCTTTTCTGAGGAAGTGTGGATATGGATTATGGACTTGAGTTTTACTAATGTATTTTTGCATTTAATTTATTTATTTATTTTATACATAATGGAAAATATGATGCAAAATATTATTATTTTTAAAATAACGTCTTTATAGTAAGTAATAGTGTGTGTGTGTGTGTGTGTGTGTGTGTGTGTGTGTGTGTGTGTGTGCGT